TGTTCCATTGATCTATATTTCTGTCTTTGTGCCAGTACCATACTGTCTTGATGACTGTGGCTTTGTAGTATAGTCTGAAGTCAGGCAGGTTGATTCCTCCAGTTCCATTCTTCTTTCTCAAGATTACTTTGGCTATTTGAGGTTTTTTGTATTTCCATACAAATTGTGAAATTATTTGTTCTAGTTCTGTGAAAAATACCATTGGTGGTAATTAGTTTTAAAAAGTCAAAGCACATGTGTAACTTCAAGGGAGAGCAGCGAAGGTAAGTATGATCCTCAGTTCCTTTCTCATACTCAGTCCTTCCTGGGCTCTTTGACTCTAATATGACTACAACAAAACTTCTTGCCTTACTTCTATACCCGTTTCTTCTCTTACAGCCCCTGTCACTGTTACAACTCTTACTAGCCAGATGTTTAACTTTGACATGCATACTAGGCCTCTTTGCCTTCACCTTCATTCTTTCCATTCAGTCAGTCACTCCACTTTGTCAGTTCTACTTTTCAAACCTATTTGTGTTCTCTTGTCTTCCTGTTCTAGTTTAGGTCTGCCCTGCAGCAGATGCAGTGAGTACATGTATTCCAAATGTGTGTTCCAAACACTGATGGGACTTTTAGCACACAATATTCAATTTTCTTGATACCTTTGAGAAGTAGTTCATTTTGTAGTTGAAAACCCAGAGGATGAGAGAGATACATTGACTTTGCCCAGTTGGTTAAAAGCATAGTTAAATAAACTTAGGTTGTCTTTTTGTCCAGTAATCTCTCTGTCTTCTTTGAATGTTTTCTTTCCTGAAATTTAAAAGTAAGACTTATATGTAAAAAAAAATCAGAGCTATATAAAATAAAAAGTAAAAGTTGCCCCCCTCAGTTCTGCTTCTCAAGAGGAACCAATGATAATGGGTTTTGTTCTAGATTTTTTTCTTTGCATATACAAATGTATAGATAGATACTTTAGCAAACAAATCATTCAAGTATAGTCCTAAAATGACTCTTATTTTTCACTCAGGATCTATGTTCATACAGATCGACCATATTTTAAAAATGGATACATAGTATGCCATCATATGGAAATATTGTTTTGTTTCATGATTTCTCTGTTAAAGAACTTGTTTTTGCTCTTACAAATAATATTGCAGTAACTTTCTTGTACATACACCTTGCATACACATTTATGTGAATATTTTTATTAGCTAGATTCTTAGATGTGGTATTGCTTGCTTTTGGAGTATGCACATTTTACAATGTGTTATCTGTTATTGAATCTGAAGCTCTGATAATTTGGCCACCTGATGCTAAGAACTGACTCATTGGAAAAGACCCTGATGCTAGGAAAGATTGAAGGCAGGAGAAGGGGATGACAGAGGATGAGATGTTTGGATGGAATCACTGACTCGATGGACATGAGTTAGAGCAAACTCCTGAAGTTGGTGAAGGGTAGGGAAGCCTGGCGTGCTGCAGCCCATGGGGTTGCAAAGAGTCAGACTTGATTGAGCAACTGAACAACAATGTGTTACTGTACTTCAATTTGTCTTTTGAACCAGCCTTTCATACTATAGCTAGAGTGATCTTTGTAAAACAAATTTGAGTATGTGATTTCCCAACATAAAAAACAAAGCAACAACAAAGGTGTTTGATGGATTTCTATTCTCTGTGTCATCAACTTAAAAATTCTTAATTTTTAAGAGTATTTGAGAATTACATAATCAGTTTTCCAGCTATATTTCCTACCATTGTCCCCAACGAACAAACATATACTCTGTTCTATAAGGCAAAATCCACCTGTTCTATAAAACCTTCCACATGTGTATAGTTCTCTCTCTTCTCTGTGTAGGCAAGATAGAACTAATTACTCCCTTCTCTAAGTTCCCAAAGCAGTTTATTAACAGTTTATTATCCCTCTAAGTGTTCTTAGTACACTGTACTGTGTTTATGTGTACATTTCTCCTCTACTACTCTGTGATCTTCTTCAGCACAGGAACTGTGCCTCACTCATCTTTGTATCTGTAGCACTTTGTACAATACCTGTCAGAGTGGGTTCTCAACAAATGTGAGTGAAATAGGTGAATATATTCTTGAGGTAGTGTTAGCAATAAGAACTTTGGGAGATAGAGTAGGTGATGGCCATTTTGAAGTGTAGCAGAAAGCTGACTGAATCCAGGACTCTGGTCAGGAAAGGTTTGGAAGGAAATAGGCTTCAACTGGCAGAGATCCCTGTGTGGTATTCTCCACTACAGAGATCAGCTGTCTGATTATTTGGCTTAATAGATATATGACTTGAGAACATTAAGAGTATTGAAAATTAGATAATTGAGGATCCACTTGGTGGAAGGAGAATTTGACTGAGCTGTAGTATCCTCTTTCCAGACTAAGATGCTCATGTTGAAAGACCCAATTGTTTGCCAGAGTCATGAATAAATTTTTCTTCTTGAAAAATTAGTCTCTTCATTTTCAGGGTAGGATTCACCTGGAAGTAGGAATGGCAAATTGGTCACATAGTTCTATGTTGTTTCTTTAGCCTAATTCAAAGGGGAAATAGTAAATTATCTGTATAAAATTAGTTTTTATCTTATTTCAGGCAAATCTGGTGGCCTGGTAGCTTTGAAGAAAGAAGAGTAGAAGGAAAAACTAGGACAAGTCATGTCGGAGATACTTGATCTCTCTTTTCTGTCTGAGATGGAAAGGGATTTGATCCTCAGTGTTCTACAACGAGATGAGGAACTCCGAAAAGCAGATGAGAAAAGGATTAGGTAAGAGTCCCAGAAAAATCATGTTCCCAGGCCCTTAACCAATGATACCTGGACTTTTCCTTATACTTCTTATCTGACTTTCAGAGGAACTTGTGTATGAGGTTTACAGCTCCTCACTGGGTCAGGTTGGGCTCTGTTGCTTTCACAGAACTAAATAGTCTTACTGTCTCCACCCCTCAACCCATCTCTCTCCAGCCCATGCAGCCTCCAAATCACTTGTGCTTCTCTTTTGGGTATTGGCAGGCGACTGAAGAATGAGTTACTGGAGATAAAAAGGAAAGGAGCCAAAAGGGGCAGCCAGCGCTATAGCGATCGGACCTGCGCCCGGTGCCAGGAGAGCCTGGGCCGTTTGACTCCCAAGACCAACACTTGTTGGGGTTGTAATCACCTGGTGTGTCGGGACTGCCGCGTTCAGGAAAGTAGCGGTGCCTGGAAGTGCAAGGTGTGCACCAAGGAAATGTGAGTGTTACTTAGAGCTGAGAGAAGAAAGGGGGCCCCAGTTGTAGTTAGCATTTCTCCCCTTGTCCTTTATTAGTTGAATATCAAGGGCCATTTTTTTTCATTTATTTTTATTAGTTGAAGGCTAATTACTTTACAATATTGTAGTGGTTTTTGCCATACATTGACATGAATCAGCCATGGATTTATCCCCCATCATCACCCATATGCCATGCTTTTGTTTGTCTTGAAGTGAATAAAAGAGAGACAGTGGAACAGTCTCTCCTTCATCAGTCACAATTGGGTGATATCTGGCCAGGAAGAAAGATCATTCAGGAGCAACAGAAGGAGCCCAGGTAAGAACCAAGCAATCATTTAAAGAAATGACTGCACATGCCTCTAATTGTTTTGTTTTTTAACTTCTATTTATAAAATAATAAATGTTCATTGTAGGAAAGTTTGGAAATTACAGAAAAGAGTAAACAAGGAAGAAAAAAAATTCCTAATCCTGTAACCCACATATAAACATCAACATTTTGGTATATTTACTTTTTTCTTTATAAGAACAATTTGAAGACAAAATGCAAATAACACAAACTCATTATTAAATTTAACCAGTTAGAAAACAATAAAGAAAACAACAAATCACCCAAAACCTTACTACCCCAGTATTCATATTATATGAAGTTATTTCAGTTATGTTTTTTGCATATGTATAGATAGAGGAATAGGTGGATGGATAGATCAAAAAACTTTTATAATATTGGATCATAATATAATAAAAGCTTTGGTTCATTTTACTTGAATTTAATAGAATAAACACTGAACTAAAATACAGGAATCACTAATCTTCAGATGAATGTTTCTTTACTGTAAAGGATATTAGTCAGATATTAGTCATTAATATCCATCTAAACTTAATAAAAAATATTATGAAAACCAGTGAGCAGTTAGTCATTTTTGTATAGTATCTTTCTGGTAATAGCCTTATCAAGCTATAATTCAGACCATATAATTCACCCATTACTAGTGTACAATGAAGTAGATTTTACAGAATTTGTGGAACCATCACCTCAATTGATTTTAGAACTTTTTATTACCTTAAAAAGAAACTCTCGTACCCTTTAGCTATCACTGCCTCTCACCCACCTCCATATCATTCCCCATCCCTAAACAGTCTCTGATCTACTTTTAATTTCTATGTTGGACATTTTATTTAAACAGAATCATAAAATATGTGGTCCTTTGTGACTGTTTTTTCTCACTTAACATAATGTTTTCAAGATTCATCCATGTTGAAGCATGTATCAGTACTTCATTTCTTTTTATTGCCAAATAATATTCCATTATATGTAAATACCCCCATTTGTTTATCCATTCATCTGTTGATAGATGTTTCGGTTTGTTCTACTTTTTGGACCAATGCTATTATGAACATTTGTAATGAGTTTTTATGTGGACATGTTAGTCCCTCGGTCGTGTCTGACTCTGCAACCCCATGGACTGTAGCCTGCCAGGCTCCTCTGTCCATAGAATTCTCCAGGCAAGAATACTGGAGTGTGTAGCCATTCCCTTCTCTAGGGGATCTTCCTGACCCAGGGATTGAATCTGGGTTTTCTGAACTGCAGGCAGATTCTTTACTGTCTGAGCCACTATACTTTAATTAAAAAAAAATGAAAAATAACGAAATAAAATACTTAGGGAAAAAAGGAATTGCTTTTTATATACTTCTTTTCTATAACCCAAAGGAGGGCTTACCAAGGGATAGAGATACCAAGGGAACCCTTCATGCAAAGATGGGCTCAATAAAGGACAGAAATGGTATGGACCTAACAGAAGCAGAAGATATTAAGAAGAGGTGGCAAGAATACACAGAAGAACT